CTTGCACATCCTCATCCAAGGTGTATGTGGCTAAAGCCATTGTAGTTTGCCTTTTATTAATTGACATAAGATATTCTTGCAGATGCTGTGTGAATAGATGGATTGTAGTCCCAGTGTATTGTAAGTATCAGCCATATCTGTTGTCCTGAAGCAATATGAAATATATTCTTGGAAGGAACATCTTATTGCAAGGGTCCTTGTTATTTCTAAGAGGCGTATGGATGATGGGGTTCCTTGTGAAGGCCAAGGAAAGGTTGTTGTCTCCTTCCACTTCTCAATATATAGCCATCAGGGTCTTGTTATACTCCACAACCTTGAATTTATGTTCCATCTTTCTTGTATACTGTAAAATTATACCTGGATCCTATTTTGTCATATTGCAATAATATTTTAGCAGTTGTGGGTTAGTTTTAAGAAATTTTACAAATTTAAAAGTGTAACATATAGAGATATAAAAGATTGTCAGAATTTTTGTAATTGTTAAATTATTTGGTCTTGCTTCCCATATTTGTTCAGTAAACCTTTTATTAATCTAGGCAGATATCCATGCTGGATAGCCAGTTATTTTATGTACCACAATTCATGAGATCTCTCCTTGAAAATAGAAGTCTGTGAATGCCCTTTTTACTAAGGCTTAAAATCTGCTACTTTATATTTATTTACCATAAGAGGAGGATGGGATGATAATCTCATCCTCCTCTACTCAAGTATCTGAAGTGCTAGAAATTTACAAGGCCAACAGAAACAACATGGCTATCAACTACAAGGACAACAATACATTAACCCCAGTTTGGAGGTCATTATTGAATATTTAATATTACTTTTACATCTAGATAATTACATGCCAATACAAAACAAATGACATCTGATGGCCAATCAGACATTTGTTTTATATTTTAAATTATTATATTCCATCATATGTTCTATTCTGATATACATTTCTGAATAAGTTCTTTAACTTGAGGATGATTGCTAAAACCAATTGAATATGTTCATTTTTCTCCAACATTGTGTTTCATGTTAGTTTTTGGTTGTGTAGGTGTTTTGAATAGTATCCAGTATTTAGTGCATTTATTATTTTATATATTTAATCATAACAATAAAATAATCAATCAAATTCTGACCAGCAAGCTACTTAATGGAAAACAAATATTTTTAATCACTTTTAATGATCATCATCAATTTAAATATTCCATAAATTTAAGTGTATAATAAAGAATAAAATTTATTCTTTAATCAAAATCTCTTCAATGATGATCAAAAATATTTGCCTCTTCCGTGTGATTATATACCAACAGGCGTATAATCACATGACTTATCATCATTTCTTTTTGCAATAAAATGACTTTAGGTGTAAATTAATAAAAAAAATTCAATTAATTTGCATTATTTTCAAATTTGCAGTGATCTTAGCTCTCTGATTTGCTTTTCTGTAGGTTGATTATTGCCAATAAGTGTTTTGTTACCATCCCTGGGCCATAAATATTTTGGTAAATACATCCCCTTACCATTATACAGCATATAGCCACAGTTAACTGTATAACTGTACAATTGGCTGAAAACAATCAAAGGGAAACTCCTTCTAAGCTTTAATTGAGTATCTACTGTCTTTGTTGACATTACTTTAATGAATTGCAGACTTGTGAAAGCTATAAATTGCCACAAAACCCCTGCCTCAACCTTCAATCTTTGAAATAAAATTAAATAAGTGCTATAAATTCACTTTTTTAATTGTATTTTTAGCTCTAATTAACTAATTTAATGTTCATAGACAGTATTTAGATGAGTAAACATCATTTTAGAACCATCAAGCTATAAATTTTCCAGGAAAGTCAACGACCCCATGCCATTAAGTAATACAAGAAAATATGTAAATAATCCCATGCAAAATGCATATTGTAGTCAATATCTCAAAGAAAACTTGTGTTAACTTCCACCCTCAGATGACTCATTCACTCTCCTCCCAGGAGAGTAATTAGAGACTTACAAGGGTACCCCACGGTCTCGGAATTCAATTCGGGATGAGACTTTGCAAGTTAGTAGTATACCTTGAAGGCATCCACCCAGAAGAATTGTAAAGTGCACTAGCCAGAAGATTCCAAGAAAAAGGGCTCTAAAGTTTTAAGCGCAGCTCATATATTGATCAATTTTACACTATGGCAGCACAGCGAAATGGCTGAGTCTGTAGCAAACGCACTTGCCATGCGGGCAATCTAGATTCAATCCTACCTTGGGCTAACTTTTTTTTATTTTTATTTGCTTTAAAAATTATAACAACTTTTAAATAAAGTTAATGACCTAAAAATATTATCAATTAAATCATAAATAATTTTATTTTATTTATGAAATGACTGTTACAGTTAATTAATATGTGAATTAAAGATAATATTTTATTTTTATTTTTGTTCAACCTTGTGACGTCTATTTTTATAGACAGGTAAAAAATCTAGTAAAGCATATACAAAATTGCACTTATCTAATTGAAAATAATAGAGAAATAAATTCCCATGAAGACTGTATAAAAATACAATCAATAGTGCATCATCAACTGTCATTGCCAATTTTTAATGAAATGATCTGGTATGCCTGGTATGCTTCCAGGCTATCTGATGAAAGAGAAATTTTCATGAGTGTAAACGAAGTATGTTTTCCAATAGATCTTTTAAAAAAAGGTTGTTCGTGTAAAAATTCATCCTTTATAAATTGTGCAAGATGTCAAAATTGTTTTGTTTTCAATATTTTTATGATAATTATCATTCTGGTGCTTGTATGTAAAATAAAAAATTGACAAATAAAGACNCACTGGCTTCTGAATTTGTAATGACAGGGATTTTTTTAAGTTCATAAAGGATATTTTTACATACGTGAAATAAATTTTTGTTTCCTATAACCTAACAACACTGAGTAACAGTTGCAATTTTGAGTCCAGCTCAGGGCTGCGTATTTTCTTCCAGAAAATTCTATTCCGATAGTCTGATAATTTGGCAGATAGTTTGTCTTTAAAATTATTTTTGATTTGTCCCACATCTTAATTAAGCACGTGAAAATGACCAAAAAGTGAGAAAAGTGAGAAAATGACCTGAAAAGTGAGAAAAGTGAGGATACTTCAGAAAAGTGAGTACAAGTGAGGACAGTGGGTGACTCCGAGGCCTGCAATTATACTAAACCACAGAATGAACTGTAAATATGCAAATAAAATAAATCCTCAATATATGCATAGGCATATATTGATGATTCAAATTAATGCATATTTATGATTAATATGCAATGATTAATTTGCCATTTTAAATACACAAACATTATCTAGTCACACAAGATACAATATTATTTTAATCAGAATAATAGCAAATATGTATTAGTTGCATTAAGAACTTTTATAAACTTTTAATAAAAAGAATATTTCATACATCACAGAAATTCATTTTTAGTTAGTTGTTTTTGATGCAAAATATGGTAAAATTTAAAAAATAAGCATAATAAAAGTAGACAGGGATGTAATGATACCATTTAGATATATTTCCAATACTGTCCAGAACATTCCATAAAATACTCTACGCTTAATTTTCTTATAGTTTAGAATAATCTAAACTAACACTTCTTTTCACAAATTTTCATCTGTATTATACAAGTAGACGTAAAAAATAGTTTTTAAGTGTTTTTATGAATGTAAAAAAATCTATTTACACTTGACAATGACTACAATCTCTGCAGTTACAGAATTTGAGAAACGGAAAATTTTTATATAATGCACAAGATACATGTTTTGATTATTGAAAAAATGCTCATGGAGACAAAATCTACCCTATATTGCTATGCTTTACAGATTTTACAGATGACAATTTCATGGAATTTGGTTATTATTTGATCCATTTAAATCTCTATGAATATTATCTTTAAATGTTATTATAATGATAACAAATCTTTAAGATCTTAAAGAAAAGATACAGTAATACAATATTTTACTAATATCTTCAACAAAATATTCAACACAGTTGGAAATGGGTATTCTGTGGTATGCAACAAGCTGTGAGATGATACTATTCAATTTCTCTCTTTGATTTCAATGATCAATTTCTAGGGTAAATTTGAATTTCAGAAATTTAGTTCGTAACTAAATATTTCTGCAGCTCTTCTAAGAATAATGCTGAATACAATGTCTTTCATCTGGTGATGACTTTGGAAAAAATTTTTCATTCCTGTCTTTTAGTTAATTTTCTAAAATTACCAATTACGAAAGTTTACCAAAACAAGCTTACATACATTTTTTACATAAAAATATTGGAAGAGATGAAGTGTTATTACATTCTGTTTTTTATTCTATATAATCAATTTACATGTTGTAGTAAATTATTATACAGCAATAAATTTAAAATACAAAATGCATCATAATCATATATTTTCATAAAAGGAAATTTATTAGAAAAAACCAAGATAATGCAGAAAGATTAAAAAAAGATAAGTCATAAGAATAACAAAAGAGATCCAGACTGAAATAGCAAGGACATAGGAACAAACCATCAATAAAAAAGGCAGGAAGACAAACTAGAACTACAAATAAGGATGTTAAATTTACAAGTACAGTAATACAGGAAGTTGGACAGGTGAGAACAAAAAATACAAACAATAAACAGTCCACAGATTTATATCATCTGTTCTTTGATTTTTCAATTTAGTTTTTATTTTTGCCATGTTAAGACTTAAAATTTAATTTCAAGAAGCAATTATTTTGTAAAATTAATATATTTTAAAGAACAGAAACCAAATCTCTTTGGATTTAAACTCATGAGATTACCTAATTTAGAATATCTTTGGCCATTAATACAATAATCAATGTAAAAACTCATCACTTAAAAGACACATAACCATATTTCCAAGCATATCAAACCAGAGCCCATAAACAAAGTTTTCCAGCCTTTCTATCCACAAGCCTTGATTTAAATCACCCAAGAGAGAAGTCATTCTTAGACCATAATTTGCCAGGGTTAGGCAGAACTTCCTACCGAAGGTGAAGAGTCTTCCATCCCATCATCATCTTCATCCTTGTCTTCATCCATCAGGTCTTCTACACTAGTGTTCAGAATGCTCCTGCAAAACACAAATTTATCAAAATTACATTTTTGTTTCTTCCTTTAATGATAAAACTTATTAATTCTATTTTATTATACAGTCAAACCTCAGTTTATGAATAATTTGTCCTAAAAGTTGTTTGGAAACCAATTTGTTCTCAACCCAAAACAAATTTTTTCATAAGAAACAATGTAAAATTGATTNTTGAAAATTTCAATCAGTTAAATATAATTTAATATTGTTTAATTTAAGACTTGTAAACAATTCAATAAGTTATTTTTTTCTAAAATACCGAAATTCTATACTACAGAACATATAACCAAAGTCTGAAGACATTTAAATTTAAATAAGTCAAATTTCAAGAAGTTAACAAATCACTAAAAATTGGCATTTCTCTTAATTACATTACTATACTCATTTGAAATATTTTCATTAAAACTTATTACTATTAATTGGCACCATTGACAAATCCATCATCACTTCAAAAATGTTTATTTTCCTTTTTTGAAAATTTTTCAGTTGAGTTTGCCAAAAGAACTGAAATGATCAGCATTTCCAAATGGTTTTCTTATAAAGGATTGAATTAATCCAAATTTCATCTTGATATAAATTCTATGATTTTTCTGACTTGTACTTTTTAAAAATTGTCATTGCCAAATAATTGAATGTCATTTTTTTTCAATTAAAAGAACAATCATGATCTTGACAAGGATATTTAAGTCAACAATCTATAAATATACATCTGGAAAAATCTAATAATAATGATTGTCAGTATTTTATCCAATGTAGATAATTTTTGGAAAAAATTATAAAAAGTTTGTTTTGGTCTTCAGTTACTACTTGTATTCGATCCTCACTCCTAGGATAAACTAGAATATGTCTTCTGAGCCACTGTAGGAACAGAGCATTCTCTTCTGCCAACACTAATGCACTAGTTTGAACATTAAGAAGTGCCATTCTCCATTTCCTATACTGGTGAAGTTAAGTATTCTGTGTGCCATTGTCACCAAATACTTTGAGTAGCTTTTTGAACTAATTGCTATCTGTTAAGTCTACTTGTATTTAATTCTAATAGATTGGAATTGGACACAGTAGTTAATGGTTCCCCAATTGAGAAATGATCTGCTGTCAAAACATCTAAATCATTTGGGTCTGATGACATGGCACAAAGTAGTCTTGAATTCAAACAAGCTTCAATTTGAATACAGTCGACTCCCTATAACACTGTTGATTATTCCATTTTATATGAATTCCATGTTGTACAAGTCACTTAGATTTTACAAATAAGTGAGCCGTTCACAGCCCAGCACATGTATTTGTAAAATCTAAGTGACTCGTACAACATGGAATTCATATAAAATGGAATTATCAACAGTGTTATAGGAGGATTGACTGTAATTATCAATCTTCAAATGTATGGTTTTTGATGACTACTCTTCAAAGATGTTGATTAATAATATTTATCCATATTTCCCGTAAGTCTCTGAAATCAAGTGACTGTGGAAAGCTAATGTCCAAGTGAATGTCCATGTCATTTGTTGCAAATTCTTGAATTTCATTTTGAATTAACTGAATCAACTGCTTTAATTCTTGAGCTGCTCAACAAAATTAGTTTCTGGCTGCCAGTTATGGAATGGTTAGTGAACTGGATATTGGTGAAAAACATTTGGATGCATTGAAAATTGTAAAACTGTTCAGGCATTATGGAAAATAATAGCAGTTTAGATTTCATCTATATTTTACCTATTTTTATTTTTTTTAAAAATGTGGAATTTTAGCTGTTAACTAAATATTTTATAATATTGTACCCAACTAAAGAGGGATGAATGTATATATCTGAAATGCATATTGAAGTCAATAAAACTGAAATGATAAAATAGTCACCTTAAAGTCATTTATGGTCATTATGATAAGTTTGGTTTTGAGGCATATTAATAGCCAATTGAAAATTTAACATAGTTATCCAAACTAGAAGCATTTTATACCAAAAATTAGTTCCATTATCATTTATAATTTCTTGAGAACTTTTCTTCTTGCTACAAATAAACAATGAATGCTTCAGAGATGATATCACTTACCAATTCTAGGTGTGCTGCTTTTGTTGATAAAACAAATGTTATGTAAACCTTCCATAATTTACGACTTTGTCCCTTAAATGCTTTCATTTGAAATAGATCATCATAATCTATTCCTACTTTAAAAATTTACAATAAGATTGTAATGTACTCATGCAATAGGTGAATTACCCATTAATTGTTGCATAATATTTGCTCGGTCTCTGAAACATTGCAGACACATTCTTGCATATTTTTCACATTTGATCTTCTAAGATCCAATATTTCTGGTATAGAACAGCTAATAACTGCATTTCAGGATGTAACAGTCTCTTATGGCAGGCTTCAATTATTGAGTAAGATGATGATGTTTAGGAAAGAGAATAAGATGCTTCATGTTATACAATATTCTTTGCATGTCTAATTGAGCACCTATGTTATAAGTCCATTCATGTCAATAAATGGTGCTTGTCCAATGAATAGATGTTTGTCTTTTCCCTGTTGTATAAAGTAATTAAATTTTGAAATTCTTCCTATTAATCTCTTTTAATCCAGAAGTTCAAAGCTGTAATTTATTTCCATAACTATCAATAGACCTTATCATCTACTTACATCTTTTGTTCTAATGTTGAAGATAAAATGTTGGCAATATGCTGTGATATGCTAGAATTTGACTAATATTGAAACAGCATTACCTTTCAGCAGTGGGTTAGTCAGGTATGGTGCTATATAGTGGAGGAAAAAACGTGAGAAATTTTTGAAGTATTTTCCCACACATTTTTTCTCATTACCATTTCGGAAAAAGATTTTGTAAACAGTTATGTCTAGTAAAGAAAAGTCTTTTTTTATTGTTACATAATTCTTTTTTATGTGAATTTTTTTCATGGTAGTTTTTGGCGATATCCGCAAAATTCTTTTGCAGATATAGCTGTCATTCATCAGTGCCACATCATTGCCCTTGACAGATATATCCATTGGTCACTGCTGAGTGGTTAAACAATGACAACTCATTTCTTATTGTAAAGGAAAGAGTCCTCTTTAGTTTATTGACTTCTGTTGAATTTAGACATGCCAAAACCTATGATCATTCTAAGAATTTGGTCATTTCCACCATATTTCTGAGTTTAAGAGTGCAAGAATGAAGCAGTCTACATAATGCACAGTTAGCCAGGTTCAGTTCAGTAGGAACATGATTCCATTTATCAGTATGAAGATTGCCTTGTATTCAGTCAGTCTACTTGCTAGAACTTTGCCAACTTGGTAAACTCCTGACCTAAAGCAAAGTAATTGTTGAATCACTCCAGGCATAAATGTCACAGCACTTAATTGACAGATAAGTCTTGCCCTTAATCATGAGTTATGATAACAGAGCGGCACAGAATTCTAATCTAATTATTAAATAATTTAGAAGTTATATATATATTTATAAGTTTATTATATATATAACAAACTTCTAGTGGAGGTATTCTTAGGCGATGGGTGTAGGAGTCATCCCCACCCAACACCGTAAGTTATATCTAAAGTGTAAATACATCTGAAAGCAAAGAATTGCTCAGCGATCTGGGTAACTGACAAGTGCACTGCATGGTAAGCAGAGGATGCAGGTTCAAGTCCCATTTCAGCATAGTTCTTTCCTTCCAGACAGTTCTAAATTATTTAATAAATTATTAAAAATTAGAATTATTAACTTAGATAAGAGATGGCACCTAACATCTACCTCTAATACCAAATGACTTAATATCTAATCATTAATAATAACAAATTTATAGTCCAAATAATTATGGCAATTGTTGGGTTGAATATCAATGTATCAGACTTCGGGAAGTTTATTATATCCAATTCTTGAACTGTGTTGTATGAGGTTTTCCTAATTCTTGAAGCATGTTAGAGAAAAACCATGTTGCACAAGGGACACCTGTACATGCTCCCTAGGCTGAATGCATCAGACAATTAGATCAATGTTCTGTTTAATTCAAATTTGTAAAGTTTTATTCTTCAGTTTGTTCTATGTCTTTAATAGATGTTATGACTATGACAATGATTGCTAAAAGCAATTAAAAAGTTTTGTTTCGATTAAAGTATTTATTTTCTGCTGGATTTTTGGTTATTTTGATAAAGTTTAATTGACAGAAACATACTCAATGCTTTTATGTTTCTCAGTAGTATCTAATAATCTTCATAAATTACTTATTAAATTATTAATCATGACTAGTACTTTATGACCATCTCATTAGTAATTCATCTAAACTCATTCAACCTTATCATATACCCAAAGATTCTTCCTTTTGTTTTTTAAAGCAAAGATCTAATATCAATAAAGGAAAAATTCATATATGAATGCAGTTTCTCAATCTATGAAAAACTTTCAAACCAGATGTTTTAATTATTTTTCAAAAAATAATTTCATAACATTATACTAAAATGCTATCAATAATATTTATATGACACTTCAAAAATCATAAATATACATAAAACACAAATATTAAAAATAATATATATTTAAATAGTAATTTATTAGCTCTAAAATGATTACATTCCATTTTTTAATCATATTTAATGACTTTTTAAAAAAATATTACCAAATGAAAGGTTTAATAAAATTACACACAATGACATCTCAAAAGTTCTCATATTAAATTTAAAAACAAAAAAAATATATTTACAAAGTTAATTTTTCTTTATCAAATACTTTATAATTCCCATAATATTTTTTTCTAAAGAGTTGGTCACATTTTCATAAATTGGTTAATCACAAGGCAAAGTAATATGTTATTTCTGTTTATTCAAATAAGTTGATCTCCTATATAAACTATATTTTTCTTAGATTAGATTTCAAATTACAAATATAATCATGCTTCCCTTTTTTTACACATTAAAAAAAAAAAAAAAAGAAAATACATTGAGCCTTTACTATAGTTGTTTTTAATAAACTTCTAAATCATTCAATTTTTTTACTCATTAATACAGTTAGCTTTAAAGTTTTACAAATGTGAATATCTGATTAAATCATAAAATATAGTAAAAAAGCAAAACTTTATGTTTAAATCACAATTACATCAGATTCACTACAAAATTTATTAAAATTATTATTCTGAATACTTAATTCTTAATATAAAAATGAAATACCTGGCTTTACATCCATATGAATAAGTCCTAAAGAATGAATATATTTCAGTCCTTCAGCTACTTGAAGTAATATTTGTTTTAATTCTGTTTCTGTAAAAGTACATCCAGACTGGCTATTATCTTCTATCATGTCAGCCAAACTTCCACCTAAAAATATAGAATTGTACTTTTATTTCAATTTATTTTGTAATTTACAAAATGAAAATATCTACTAAATCAATCCATACCATTACAGTATTCATTCTGAATCAACATGTGATCATTTTCGGCCCAAGCCGAATAATACCTAACAACATGAGGATGATGTCCTAATACAGCATGTGCATAAACTTCGTTTAAAGCTGTTCTTCTGCAAATTAAATAAATGATAAAATTATTTTTAATAGACAATTTTCTATCATTTCTAGCCAATCTAAAAGAATTAACTGCATTAATACTCACTCATTAACACTTCCATATAGTGGTTTATGTAACTTTTTCAATGCATAAATACATCCATCTAAACGATGAATACATTTATAAACACTACCAAATTCTCCAAAACCAATCTGACAAATCTCTAAAAATTCTGTATTGTACCTGAATACACTATTTTCTTTAGGATATATCTAAAACAAAATACAATTATTAAAGTAAGCAAAGCAAAAATTACTTTAAATTAAAACATTTCGTATATTTAAATATTGTATTATGCCTATCAAAATATAATACAAATCTCCAAATCCCTATAGAAATTTTTAAACTTTGCAATTTTATAAAAGCAATTGTTGATTCAAGAACAGATTATACTCTCACTAGAATCATCATAAAAGTGACAGGAATTAGCATGTAATTATAAAAATCAATCCTGTATATCCAAAATCATCACAAACATGAATGATTTTCAAAAAACTTTTCAATTACAGGCCTGGGAGTGCCATTTCCCCTCTGAAAAAGTGAGAAAAGTGAGTTGAAATACAGAAAAAGTGAATAAAAAGTGAGTGCAATAGTGACAAAACAAAGTGAAAAAACGGAAAGAAAACTCAGCAAAATAGCAGTAAAAGTTATTTTCTTTTTATTGTGTTATGGTTAAACACATTTTTAAAATTTCTGTATATACTGTAATACAGTCGTTATATCGCGCATTTTTGGTCCCCGAATTTTAAAAGCATTTGAGTCAATAACTTTTAAATTACCAATTGTCACTGAATTTCTATTTGCAACGAAATACAGTATTTTATTTCCACTATTGTCCTTGAAACTACCACTGAAGGTGAAACAATAAATTCGCCAAGATCTACATATGCAGAACAAGTGGATGGATCGATTATCATTTGTTTCCTTTTAATAAAAAAGTTGTTTATTTATTAGTTTTAAGTACTGTCTCCTCATTTACAAGTTTCTGTAAATTCGAAATTTCACATCTTTATGTGAATTAACGGTATTGCTTCAATTCACACAGAGGTGTGAAATTTCGAATTCACAGCATAATGTGTAAGGAAAAGATTTCTTAATTCTGAAAGGAAAGTTCTAAAATTTTTATACAGTAGTAACTTTATTTTGCTTTTTAATTAAAGAATTTTTACTCTGTAATTTTATAAGTTTTGATGTTCTATTATACATTCAATATTTTTTTTTTAATTTTCAATTACAGCATTTATAATTTTTATTGAAAAATATAAACTACACGAATTTCTAATAAGCGATTTATATAGTACTGTATAATAAAATCGCAATTGATTTGTTTTTATATCGACAGTATTTGTCTTTCAATGTCATTGTTAAAGAAACAATAATGCTAAATGGGCGTTCATGGTATCGATGTTCACGTAAACGTCAATTAATACGATATAACCACGAATAAAATTCAGGATTGAAAAACTAAGCTTATTTTATATCAGAAACACTTAATGATGAAAGAATAGAGATTCCATAACATGTATAATCTGTCTAGTAAAAGCCCAGAATTTTTATTACTCGGTTATATCGCG